TGGGGATTTGGGGCCGGCCCAGCCCTGCTGAGTGCCCAGCCCTGGCTGAGTCAGTGCCACCTGTGCCAACATTCCGGCTGCCAGCCGGAAAAATCGCTCCTCGCTCCTGTTTTTCCCCAGCCCAGGGTGAGTTTTTGGGGAGGGGAGGTTTGGAATCCCGGGATGTGTCCGTGTATCCACGTCCTGGGCGGGTCCTGGGTGCACGGAGAGGTGGATTTAGGGGGTGAAATTCCCTTTATCCCAAGAAAACTGGGCTGGGAAAGGGCTTCATTCCCAGGCAAGGCTGATTCCCTGGGATGGGAGCCCTTCCCAGCCTGACTTCCTTGTTCTGGGTGCCCCGGGACCTTTCCAGGAGGTGCTGGGGCAGCCGTGGAGTGGGATGAATCCCAAATTTCTGGGGGTGCTCTTTGCTCCCTTCCCTCCTTCCCGGGGCCTTTGCTGAGCTGGTTCTGGGATGCAAAACCCCCCCAGTTCCTCTGGGAGGCCTTGAGGTGCTTTTTCCCAAGTTTTTGGGGTGGGAAGTGGAAAGCTTGGAAATGACATTTAAAAAGAAAAATAAATCAGAAAAATCACTTTAATTCCCAGGAAAAAAACTAGAAAAATTCGCTTCAATTCCCAGAAAAAAAAAATCGGAAAAATCACTTTAATTCCCAGGAAAGAAAAAGAGAATTTCACTTTTGTTCTCAGAAAAATAAAACATAAAAATCACTTTAATTCTCAGNGTTTAATTCCCAGGAATAAAAAGCAGAAAAATCACTTCAATTCCCAGAAAATTCACTTTAATTATTGATTGTCTAAAAGATGCTTTTGCTGCTTCCCAAAAATAGGTTGGGAAGTGTCTCCCCCTTACAAATGTTGGGATAAGAGGGATAAAATCCTCCCCACCACCATCCTCGAGTCCTGTTCTTGCTTAAGGAGGTTTTCTCGGCTCAGCCCATTATCCCAGGGAAAGGAGCGTTACTTTTTCCCTGGAGTCACGTGGAGGGCACCGGGATATATTTATATATTTGTTGCTTTTTGCCAGGCTTGTTGGGCTGGTTTGGAGCTGGAAAAATCCTGACAGCTCCGGAGTTTGTTTGCAAGGGGCGTTTTCCAGCAGGGCCGGGCCCTGTGCCGGCAGAAAATTCCTTCCCAGCCTGGAAAACACGGATGTGAAATAGGTAAAATGGGAGTATTTTATATCAAGGATATTGGATTTAATTAAATCCGTGGGTGGGCTCTTCCTTCTGCCTGAAATTCCCTTTTTTTGGGGGGTGTGTGTATGTGTATATTGTATTTTGGGTGGAGTTTTTGGGATGTTAAGGTGGTGGGGGAATAACTTGGAATGCGAATGTGGAGCTGCGTTTTCGGCCGGCAGCGGGTGGTTTGGAGGTCAAATATCCCGGGAAAAATCGGCTTTGCCCAGAAACTTTGGGCATTTTGGGCTATCCCTGGGCGTTTTGGCCTCTCCCGCTCCTTGTTTTTCCCTCCCTGGAAGCGAGGGGGTTAACGGGATGCTCCAGGCGGAGGCGATCAATCCCGGTTTAGCGGGATTTGGGAAGCGCTGCCCGGGAAGAAGAGCCGCAGCAGGAGGAGGAGGAGGAGAAGGAGGGGGAGATGCTGCCCAAAATCCCGGCATCCCTCGCTCCAGCCGCTGGAGCGCCGGGCCGAGCTCCAGCCGGGCTCCGCCGCCGGGATTTGGGAATCGCGGGGGTCCGGCGGGGCCCGGGGGGAGCCCCCGCCCCGGGCATCCCACCCAGGGGCGCCTCGGCAGCGACCCTCGCCGGCCAGGGGGGTTTTCCCGGGAATTCCCTCCCTGCTCGGATGTGGATACAAAGGCGGAGGAGCCGCGGCCTTCCCAGGTCAGCCAATTCCTGTTTTCCCTTCTGCTGCCCCCCCAGATCCGTGGATCCAGGCAGGAATCTCTGGATATCCGCGTGTCCGTATAGAAATCCAGAGGTTATCCCAGAATCCCGCGGCGGGAGGACACCCTTCGCTTCCCGCAGCCTCCGGCCATCCCCGCCTTTATTATCCACCGAAAATTCCCGGGAGTTTGGGTTCATTTTGGACAGATAAGGGAAAACAAGGAATGGGGGAGGGAAATCCCCAGGAATACCCACCCACCTCATCCCACCCCCGTTCCTGCGCTTTTCTCGCCCCGTTTTTTTCCCAGCTCGTGAATCCCTCCCGTGTTTTCCCAGCTGGGAATTGCAGCACCTGTGGGAAAACTGATTTTTAGAGAGGTGGGAGCGTCCTCTGGGATAATTTTGGCAGGAAATAATGGCACTTATCCCTATTATGGCGATTTTTTGGGATATTGGTTGCGTTGGGGTGCAAGTTGGGAAGGGGCTGGAATATTTTTTTCCCACCTTTTGCACCGCTTTGATTTATTTTTTAATTAATTAATTCTGTCTTAGGGGAACAAAACAAGTTGCAAAGAGCAGGTTTTTCCCAAAAATACCCGGAAAAATATACAGGAAATGTCTTTTTAGGGTAAAAATCCCAATATTTTATCAGGTGCTTGAATAGGTGTTTGGAAAACAAGGAGAAAAATTAGGGATATTGGGGAAGGATGAGCTCAAATCCATTGGTGCCATCACCTGATGCTGATTTTTGGGCAAAGTCAGGTGGGTTTTCGGGAGAAAAAGGGGATTTTTTGGCAAAATAATGTGGGGTTTGGGCAAAATAAGGTGATTTTTTTTTTTGCAAAATAAGGCGATTTTATGCAAAATAAGGTGATTTTGGGGCAAAATAACCTGGGTTTGGGGCAATGTAAGGTGATTTGGGGGTGAAATAAAGTGACCCCAGAGCACTGGCAGGAGGACAAAGCACTTCCAAAGGGTGGGAGAGGTTTTAATGTGGAGCTTTGCAATAAAGCAAATTATTGGGATTTTTGAGCAGGAAACAATAATGAGGGGAAAAAACATCCATTATTTCTTTTTTTTTTTTGGCTTTTTTATTGGTATTTCTGATTCAAATTCTTCTCCTTTCAAATTCCTTCCCGGGGTAGTTTTGCAGGGGATGAACTTTGTAAAGTGGGGATTGGGATAAACGTGGAATTAGGGAGTTTTTTGGCAATAAATGGCTTTTTTTCCTGGATTTTTGAGGTCTCTCTGTGAGAAATCTTTGCAGAAAGGACTTTAATTTTTCCTATTTAAGGGCTATAAATGTGATTGTTCTTGACTTTTCCCTGGTTTTCCTTTTATCCCTGTTTCTCATGGCATGAGCTGGACCAGGGATGGATTTTTTCCAGCTCATCGGTGGCTTTGAAAATGCAAAGCAAAGGAAAACAGTGGCACTTTTCCAGGTCATGGGATTGTGAGCTGGAATATTTGTGGGATATTTGCCTGGAAAAGCCACTTCAAGGGAAAACAGGGAAAAAAACTTTTTCTATAAGTTGACACCTTTCCAGGAGTTTATTGAAAATCTACTCCCAAAACTGCCCTGGATTTTGAATTTTTATGGAATTTTTTCAGGGACAAACTCTTCCTTTGGCAGCTTTTTCTGGGAAAACCCCTTTTTTTTTTTTTTTGGATTTTGAGGAAGAAATTCCATATTTTGCCTTTTTTTTACCCCCCCCCCATGATTTTGCTGTTGTTTCATTCCCACTGCTCCTGGGGCTGCCCCTTGTTCCCACCGTCCTCAATCCCAACCACATCCCAACTCCTGATCCAGGGGATTTTTGAGGACCCTGGGTAATTTTTCCCCACTGGAGCTCTCACTGACACCCTCAAACCTGCCCAGTTTATTCCTTGGAAAACTGGGAAATAAAACCTTTGGCCCGGAAATCCCATTAAGGATGAAAAAACTTCCTTTGCTGTAAATATTTGCTGCTTTTTAAAGTTACTTTTGTTCATTTTTAACTGGTTTTTAATTTGAAAATGATTTTTCATTTCAGAGTTGGTTTTGTCTTTGAGTTATTTCCAGTCATAAATGATTTTTTTTATTGTTTAAAATACTTGAGGTTATTTTAATGTTTGAGTGATTTTGATTTTAAAATTAGTTTTCAATGCAAATTTTATTTTTCAATGTAAATTTTCCCCCCAACCTGTATCTTATTTTTAAATGTAAATTCTGTTTCCAATTTAAACTTTGTTTTCCAATTTAAACTTTGTTTTCCCATTTAAACTTTGTTTTCCGGTTTAATCTTTATTTTCCAATTTAATTTTTACTTTCCCGTTTATTTCTCTATTTAATTTTTCTCATTTTGTTCTTTATTTTTTAACTTTCTAAATTTAATTTCCTCTTTTCCATTTTTAACTTTTTTTTTTAATAATATTGTACTTATTATTTTATAAGATTGGGAGTTAGGGGTGAAAACACCCCTGTTTTCCTCCTCCATGGACTCCTCCCATCCCAGGGAGTGGAAAAAACCTGAATTAATTCAATTTTTATCAAATTTTAGTCAATTTTTATATCAATTTTTATCAAGGTCATGGTGGAAAATTCCCCTGGGATGTGGGAATTAATGTGGGATGTGACCTGCAGGAATTAATGTGGAAAGGGGGGAGAACCTTGGGAGAGAAAAGCTAATTTGGATTCCTCCCCACCCCCATCCCTTATAAATAACTCCAGGTTATTTATCCCGCGGGATGAGCGCGGTGGGATGGGCAGAGGGGCAGATTCCCAGGGCAAATCCTGTTGGAATATCGTCCATTGTTCCTCCCTGGCTTCCCAAAGCCCTCCATGGGGGGATGGGAGAGCCCTGGGAAGGGAGATCCTGGATCTGGGATCCTTCCCGAAGCTGGGCCCTGTTCCCACCAGCTGGGCCCTGTCGCTCCATGGCCCCGGCTAAAAATATCCCCCTGAATCCTGGGATCGGGATGGGGCCCAGCACATGGGCCTGCTCTTCTGCCTTTATTTAGGCCCGGCTCGACTTATTTAGGCCCAGCTCGATTTATTTAGGCCCAGCTATATTTATTCAGGCCCAACTCTGTTTATTCAGGCCCGGCTCGATTTATTCAGGCCTGGCTCGATTTATTCAGGCCCGGCTCAATTTATTCAGGCCCGGCTCGATTTATTTAGGCCCAGCTCTGTTTATTTAGGCCTGCCTTGATTTATTTTCCCTCCCCGCTCCGGGTGGGAAGGAGCCAGAGCTGCCACCCCCAGGATGCTCCTTCCCACGGAGAGGCCCCAGCAGCTCCTTGAAATCCGGACTTCCAAGGATGATGTCGCATCCCGGCGTCCTTCTGGGATCCTCTCACATCCCCAGGCCCTCATTGGATTGTCCTGCTTCCCGTTTTTCCGCTCCCGGTTTATTCTGAGGGATCTCCCTGGCAGGGCGGCTCATCCCCACTCGCTTTCCCCTCATCCCCTGGGATGCATTTTGTTCCTGGGATGTTCCTTTCTCATGGAAAACGATGCAAAATGACCTTTCAAACCCAATCCAAGGGTTGTTTTGGAGTCCTGGGAGCTGGAAAAAGAACCAACCAGCCTTGGGATAAATCGGGCTTTGGGATGGGAGCTTATGTCAACTGGCAAAATGGGAAGTGACCTTTTCCCGCCCGGCCGGATAAATTTGGGATGGAGCTGCAGCACATCCGCCTCCCACTGCCCTCATCCCACGGGGAAGCCACCGGATTGCTGGAAGGACGGATCAAACCAGTAAGGAAACTGGGGTCGGGATGAATCCGGCAGCAGCTCTTTCCCGGGGTTATTTTTCCCAAGGATTAAGGATTCCAAACTTGCTTTGCTTATTTTTACTGCAGAAATAAGGGATGTTTTTTTCCTGGGCTCCTCAGCTCCATGGCAGCTCCTGCTTCCCTCTGGATCCATGGCTCGGGTGGTGCCACGTCCAGAGGGATAAAACCTGGAGCTTGGAAAAGGGGGAAAGCTGGCAATATCCTGCTCCCAGGCTGGTGGAAAGCAGTTGGGTGATGTGGGAGCTGTTCTGAGCACCAGGAAAAGAATTCCAGGAGGAAAACAGACCATCCCTGGGTCCCTCTCCCAAATAAATCCCAGTTAACGTGTTTACAGAGACAAGGGGCTTGTTGGAAAAGTGGCTGGAAAAGTTCTTGTGGTGGGTCAGGGAGGGGAAAAGGGATTTATTCCTATTTTTTATGGCTGGAAAAGGGTCAGTTGGGATTTGGCTCCGTCTTTTGGTGGGGTTTGGATCAGGATGGGGTTGGGCCTGCTGAGCACTGGGAATCTGGGGGGTCACACTCTCAGCTTGGGCACCTGCCGGGGGTTTAGAGCCCATTTTCCAGCAGGAAATGGGAATCTGGGAGGTGATCCCAGATCTCAGCACCCTCCTGGTCAGCTTCAGACACACAGATACGTGTTTCTATTATAATTCTTCCAATAATTGTCATTATTTCTATATTTTTATCTTTCTCAGTGGCCCTGGAGCTCCGTGAAAACCCAAACCTGGAGCAATTGCAGCTCTGCATTTGTATTTATTACCATTCCTATAATTATTATCATCATTACTATAATTACCATTATTATAAAGATAATTTGGTATTATTTTATATATTTTTATATCTCTCTGTGGCCCTGGAGCTCCATGAAAACCCAAAGCTGGAGCAATTCCAGCTCTGCATTTATATTATTATCACTATTATCATTATCATCATTATCATGAAATTTTAGGATTATTTGATACGTTTTCCTGTCTCTCTGTGGCCCTGGAGCTGTTTGTCCCACCTGGGGCAGTTCCTCCCACCCTGTGCTGCAGCTCCAAGGGATTTTGGTCCAGGGGGAATAAACAAATCCTAAATAAATAGATCTTAAATCATCTTAAATAAATAGATTAAATCAACAGCTCCTTTGTTTTGGGATCGCCCCTGGCTTTGGGCCTCTCCTTATCCAGCATTTCCCAGGGAAAATGGGGGAGAAACCATCTCTTGGGGGGGTCATGACTCTTTGGAGCAGGGAGGCAGCATCCGTTGGACATCCTGCTTCCAGCAGGACCAAATTCCCCGGATTTGGCCCCATTTTCCCCTTTCCAACCTCTCAGGTGATGTTTTGTTCTGCTCCATCATCCCTTGGGAATGGGGGTCCCTGCTCTGACCTTCCTCCTCCTGGTGACCTTCCAGGGCGTCTCTGGTTTCGGGAGCGGATGAACCATCGATCCCAGGGAGGCTCCTTGGCGCTTCCCGCCCCCGAGACCTTCAATCCTGCAGGATTTGCCATCCATGGGATAAATGTTCCACGCCAACCAAGCCCTGGGAGCAGCTCCTGCTTCCTTGTGAGGTTTTGCAGCAGCTGGAGCTGGATCCCTCACACCTGGAGGCTCCCAGGGATGGATCTGGGGGGCTGAGCTTCCTTTTCAACCCATTTTTCCTTCTCTCCCGCAGGAGAAAGTCAGGGAAGGGCCTGGGCGGAGCATCCGGAGCCCCCTCGCCATGGCCTCGTCTGAGCTGCCCCCCCAGCCTGCAGTAGGTACTGTCACCCCTCTGGAGCTGGGAGCTTTGGGAAGGGGACCCCTATCCTGGGGAAGAAAGGGGGGGGGGGTGTCCTGCATATCCCAGCTGGAGCCTCTTGGAATTCTGAGAACGCTCAGGGCTGTTGGATCTTGCAGTTCTGGGGGGGTGATGCTCTTTCTTCCATCCCTCCTCCATCCCTTTTCCATTCCTGTTTTTTTTTGGGAGGAGGGCCCCTATGCTTGGGCAGAAAGGGGGGGTTGTCCTGCATATCCCAACTGGAGCCTCTTGGAATGGTGAAAACACTCAGGGCTGTTGGATCTTGCAGTTCTGGGGGGGTGATGACTCCCTTCTCCACCCCCCCCTTCTCCTTCCCCGTCTTCCCTCCTCCGTCCACGCCTTGCTGGCGTATCCTGAGTGAATCCCACCTTTTCCATCACCTCCCTCTTCATCTCCCCGTTCCTGGGGGACCCTGAGTGACACTGGATCCCCCCATTCTCCATCCTTCCCTCACTTCTCCATCCATCCCCCCCTCTCCTCCATCTGCTCCCCTTCTCCATCCCTTCCTTGCTGGGGGACCTGGAGTGATATTGTCTCCTCCTCCATCCTTTCCCCGCCTTCTCCATCCCTCCATCCATCCCTCCATCCATCCATCCATCCATGTCCCCCTTCTCCTCCATCTCCCCTCTTTTCCATCACCTCCCTCTCCATCTTCTCCTTCCTGGGCGTGACCCTGAGTGACACCGTGTGCCCCCCTTCTGCATCCATCCCCTCCTTCTGCATCCATCTCCCCTCTTCTCCATCTCTCCTCTTCTCCATCTCCCCTCTCCTCCATCCCCCCTGCTCCTCCTTCCCCCCCTTCTCCATCCCCTCCTTTCTGGGGGACCCAGAGTGACATTGTCTCCCCCTCCATCCTTTCCCCCCCTTCTCCACCCATCCCTCCCCCCATTCCATCCCTCCTTGTCCTTCTCCTCTATCTCCCCCTTCTCCTTTTCCCTCCATCCCCCTTTTCCCTCCATCCCCCCCTTCCCCTCCATCCCGGTGCCGTGTCCCCGCTGCAGGAGCCGCGGTGCCTCCGGAGCCGGCGGGCGCGGTGCCCGCAGGGGGGGAGGACGTGGGTGAAGCCTTTGCCTTCGAGGACAGTGAGGAGGAGGAGGAGGAGGAGGAGGATCCCACGGCCCATCCCGGCGGGGCCGTTGTTCTCCGGGCCCCCCCGCGCCGGCGGCGTGGGACCAGCTCCGAGGGGGGTGAGCGCGCAATTCCCGACATTTCCGCCGTGTCCCTGATGTCCCCACGTTGTCCCTGATGTCCCCTGTGGGTGCCAACACAGCCTCTCTTTGCTTTTCCTCTCCACAGAGGGGCTGGTGCCGGAGACCCCAGAAGGGTAAGTGGGGTTTTGGTGGGGTTTGGCGGGGGGTCGGGGGGATTTGGTGGGGGATTGGGGGGATTTGGGAGGGTTTTGGTGCAGTTTTGAGTCCCCTGAAGGATCTTTGGGGTCTGTCCCCTCTGTCTGATGTCTCAGCTTGGTGCTGTGCCTCAGTTTCCCTGACTTCTCCCCATTGCAAGGGCAGGTATCCCTGGGAATTTGGGGTACAGCCCCCAGCCCTGGGGATCTGTGAGGGCTTTGGTGGGGTTTTGGGGGGAGTTTGGGGGGTTTTGATGTGGTTTTGAGTACTCAGAAGGATTTCTGGGGTGTGTCCCCTCTGTTTGATGTCCCAGTGTCTCCATGTAACAAAACAAAACGTTTGCTGAGGGAGGGCAGGATAGAAAAAACCAAACTCCTCCTTCTGAGTTATTATAACTTCAAAATTAGGAGGCTTCAGGTGAAAAGGTGTGGAAAAGAAAGTAATAGCATTTTACTAATGTACATACATATATATATGTGTGTGTATATATATATATGTGTGTGTGTGTATATATGTGTATATATATATGTATATATATATATACACATAACAAAACAGACCGAGCTACAACACTGTAACTGAAGTTTTCCCCTCCACAATTCCGTGTTTTCTGAATTTCTGAGTTTCTGCCTCGGCGCAGTTACAGCCGCGGACAGCAGGGGGCTGTTCCCGGGGGCTGCGGCGGCACAAAGGGACTTCCCTGGCAAACAGGGCTCCCCGGGATGCCGAAAATGGCAGGAAATTCTCCAAACAGCATCGGTGTAGATCAGGCAGAGAGCAGCTCTTTAGTGAAGGCCTCGAGGTGCACACGAGTGTCCCGAGGTTTTACCCGGATTTTCCCATTTTCTAGTTCTAATCCACCCAATCTGAGAACTGTCCACCCCCGGATCCTCCCTCCTGGCACGGCCTCCCATCGGAGGTCTCAAGACCCCCCTTCTTCCTCATCTCCCTCCTCCTCACAGCCTTGTCTGTGGAGCTCTGCCGAGGTTCCTGGGCCTGCCAGCTTGCTTTGGCTGCAGGGATATCTGATTTTTCTGGTCCAGGGGCACCTGTCCCAAACAAGATGTGCTTGCTCGAGTCCCTTCCATTGAGAAGAACGTTAAACAAAACCTGCAGAGTTTAGAAAGTTTGATATGAAGCGTGAGAACGGGGTTTGGTGGCTGCCAGCTGCTGTTCTGAGGCGGGAGGGAACTTGATGGGCACACTAAAAACTCGGATTTAACACAAATCTTACAAATTCCAGGAGGGCATCTCACACAGGGCACCAAGGGAGCTCCCTCCTGGCAAACAGGGCTCCAAACATGGCACAAAGGGAGCTCCCTCCTGGCAAACAGGGCTCCCACAGGGCGCAGAGGGAGCTGCCCCCTGCTCTGGGGGCAAACAGGTCTCCCACTCTTTCCAAAGGGAATTCCCCTCCGCTCCAGCTGTGGATGCAATCCTGGCTCGGCTCTGGGCCCCTGGGCTGGGGAAGGGGGGCCCGTGGGCAGCAGGAGCAGCAGGAGCAGGCAGGGGGCAAAGAGCCAGCGGGGAAAGGGTGGGTGGGCAGAGGTGGGGCACAGGCAGGCTGTGTCCCCGAGCTGTGCCCTGTCCCTGAGCTCTCCTATGCCCCAGAGCTCTCCCTGTCCCAGAGCTCCCCTGTCCCAGAGCTCCCCTGTCCCAGAATTCCCATGTCCTTGAGCTCTCCCTGTCCCCGAGCTGATCCCTGTCCCAGGGCTCTCCTTCTCCCAGAGCTGTCCCCAAGCTCTCCTGTCCCAGGGCTCTCCCGCAGAGCCCGTGCCCAGCTGGCAGGGTCAGGCAGGTTTAACTCCCCTCACTCCTGTTCTTTTCCAGAGATATCCCCCTTCCCCCCCCCGGCCTGGTGCCCTGTTTTGGCCACATGAGCCGTTCTGTGCCCAGTTCAGATCCTCGCCCGGGGAGCCCCACCTTTGCAGAGAGAACCACGAGCTGTTTTTCCCCAGGACAGTCATTCAAGCCCGAGCTAGAAAAACAGGGAAGCCTGATGTTTGCCTTGTCCCGGCAAGGGATGTTTGTCTTGTCCCAGCAGAGGCTGTTGGGGTGGAAAATTCACCAGGAAGTGTGAGACCACAGCACTGGGCCTGGGGCTGAGCCTCAACTACCCTGACCTCTCCCCTTCCCTGCCAGAGGGGCTGCAGGCAGGGGAGCCCCGGGGTTTTGGCCTGCACCTGCAGCCCTTGGGGTGGGTTTGAGTTCCCTGAAGGATCTTTAGGGTCTGTCCCCCCTGTTTGCTGGCCCAGCCTGGTGCTGAGCCTCAGTTTCCCCAACTTCTCCCCATTGCAAGGGGAGGGATCCCCGGGATTTTGGGGTCCAGCACCCTAGCCCTGGGGACCTGTGAGACTTTTGGGTGATGGGGGCTTCCTCCAGCCCCCAACTGGAGAAGATGGGGGAGAAACCCCTTGGGATGGTGTTTGAAGGGGCTGGTTTCCTCCTTGGCTGTGGATTTGGGGGGAAAAGCTGGAAATTTGGCTGCAGGGAGGGCTTGTCCCCCTGGCAGAGCAGGAACAGGGTGTGGGGAAAGGGACAGGACCCTACCAGGAATGGGGGGGACCCTCTCCCTGTGCTCCCCAGTGCTGGCACATCCCCTGCCCTGCAGCAGCACATGGACTGAGGCTAAAAAAGCCAATTTTGGGTGTTTTGCATTTTCTCTGAGTGGTCGTTGGGACCCTCTGGTGTGACCCTGAGACCTGGGACCCCCAAATCCATGAAGAAGGAGATGGGGGGAGGGGGGACAAGCTTTATTTTGGGCCTGTGAACCCCTGGAATGGGAACAGGGGTGGGGAGGGGCTTGGCTGCACCCAATCCCAAGGGATTTACACTCAATCCCAAGGGATGGATTCGTACCCAATCCCAAGGGATTTGCAGCCTGGGATGCTCCCTGACCCCCTTCCCCACAGGGCCCCGGTGAGGATGAGCAATGGGGAGGCCGGGGGAGACCCCCCCGTCCGCACCCAGACCTGGAAGCGGGAGAGCATCTGCCGAGGTAGGTCCAAACACTGGGACAAACCCCCTGCCGAGGCTTGGGAAGGGTTTCTCCAGCCTGGGTGCTGAGCAGGTCCCGGGGGGGTTTGTCCCCCAAAGGTGAGCGGTTTTCCTTCCCGGAGGTGGAGGACGACGTGATCTACGACGACGTTCCCTGCGAAAGCCTGGATGCCGAGCAGGATGGTAGGGATAGACCTTCCCCCTCCCTTTCCCAAGGTCTAGGAGCCCGTTTTCCAGCTCTGGATAAACTCAGGGAAGGAGAAAGCCATCCTCAAAGAGGATGTGGAGCGGGATGACTGTGGGAAAACCAATGGGACTGGGAGGGAGATGCGAGGGTTTGGTGTGTCTCCTGTGGGTCCCTGAGGAAGGGAATTTGCCTTCCTGTAAGGAAAAGGAGCCGGATTTTCCTTGGCAGGAGCAGAGAGGGAGCGGAGCCTGATCTACGAGGAGGTGCAGCGGGGAGAGGGCTCCCGGATCAGCGAGGATTTGGGCTGGAGCTCCAGTGAGTTCGAGAGTTACAGCGAGGATTCGGGGGAGGAAACCAAAGCTGAGCCCACCAAGCACAGAGCGTCCTTCCAGCCCAAGGTAACCCTTGGATCACGCCTTTAGGACCATTATTCTTGTTTTTCCCTGGGTTTGCTTGTCCAAAGGCAGTGGAGCACCAAGTCCAGCTGCTCCCGTGGCTGGTGACGCTGAGGATGCTGCGGCTCGGCCCCCAACTCTGGGGGGTTCATTTCTTTCTGTTCTCCTTCCTTCCCTTTTTCAGTTTTTCCCCTTTTCCTTCTGCATTTGGGCCCTGCTGGAGCCTGGCTGCTGCTTTGCCCTGCGCTCGCTCCCTTCCCCGCTCCAGCCTAGCCAGGCTTTTGGGATGGTGCTGCCTGGGCCGTGCTGCTCTGGGGGGATTTCTGCTCTTTGTTTGGTTTTTGCTGCTCACCTGGATCTCTTCTCTGCCTCCTCCTCCTCCTCCTCCCGCCTGGTTTGCTTGAGCTCAGCTTTCTCCAGACCTGAATAGACTAAAGGAGAGATACGCCAGGACTAAGAGGGACATCCTGGCTTTAAGAGTTGGGGGGAAGGACATGCAGGAGCTGAAGCAGAAGTACGATTGGAAGGTACTGTCCCTCCTCCATCCCTCGTCCCTTCTCCCCCAAATTTCCCAGGGGGAGTCAAAAAAACCTCATGGAATTTATCCAGGCTGAATTCATCCCATTTCATCCCCCCAAAAAGAGGAACAAATTCAGTGAAGCACCTCAAAGCTGCCTCTCATGTCCATCTGTCTTGCAGCTCCCCGTCCTCCAGCTTCCCCAACCGTTGGATTTTGGGGTGTTTCCTTGTTTTTAAGGGGCGTTCGGACGGCGCCGGGTTTCCCACGGGATAGATGGATCTGACAAGGTTTTTTTTTTCCCCTGATCTGTGGTGGAAATCAGGTGGGGAAGGAGATTTTTGGGAGAACCTTAGTGCAAAAGCCTTCCCCAGCCCCAGACCATCCAGGTATTTCCTGGCTGGAAGTTTGGGCTGAAACGCTGTGATTTGAGGTGTGAAAGGCCGACACTTCCCCCCCTTTGCTGTCCCCCACATGAAATCCCTGCACAAGGAGGGGATGGATGTGCTCCTGCCTCCCTTCCCTCCCTCTGCTTCGCTTGGCTGCATGATCCCGCTTTGCCGGCGCCTGCTTGCACGTGGCCACATCCCTATGGATGGGGCACAGGACGGAGCATCCATGGGCCTTGGATATGTGCCTCTTCTTCCTGCTGCATGGGAAAATGGGGATGATGCCTGAGGGGATGGTGCCTCTGCATCCGGATCCGGAGTGGGGGATGATGCCCAAGGGAAGGACACGGCTCCGTCCGGATCCGAGATGGGATCCCGGTGCTGCCTGAGCCTCCCGATCCCTCTCCTCCCCCTCCCCAGATGACCCAGCTGATGAAAGCAGCCAAAAGCGGCACCAAGGACGGTTTGGAGAAGACCAAGATCGCGGTGATGAGGAAGGTGACGTTCCTGCACCGGAAAGAAACCCCAGGTGAGCGGGAAAAGCAACCCCCCTCTTTCCCTTTCCAGTGCCAAAAAAGCCTTTTTTGAGGGTATTTTTAAAAATAATCACCAGGAACCCCCATCCCTTTCAGCATTTCCTTTATTTCCCATTTATTTTTTGCATTTTAATCTTTTCTTTGACTGTTTTCCACTCTTTGCATCCCTGTGCAAGCTCAGTCCCTTCGGCTCCTCCTGGCTCCGTATCCCTTCGGGAGCGCCCGTGGGTGTCCTTGGGCACAGAGCAGGATCTTCCCGGGAACGCCGAGTTTGGGGGGGGTTTCCTGACTTTCCTGCTGTCACGTAGGGGATGGGGAGCGGAGGAGGCGGGCGGAGGAGGCGGGAAAGCCTCCGCCTTCCCGCCGGAGCTCGCGGGTGTCCCTGGAGCAGCACGGGGGAGGTACGATCCCGAGGGGCGGCTCCCGCCGGAGCTTCCCGGGGGATCCCGCGTGTGTGTCCCGGCCCGGCTGTGTGTCCCCAACGTGCCTTTGCCTCGCTGGGGTGGGGCTTCGATGCTTCTGGGAGGAGCTGGAGGGATTCCCGTCCCCCGGGAGCATCCCTGGCACGTGGGGATGGGGAGAAGGTGGAGCTGACGACCCGAGGGCGGGCGATTTGTCCCGGCCAAAATTAGGGAAGGAAAAAAATCACCCGGCTGCCAACGCCCTCCCCTCCGGCCCGGCCGGTCCTCCCCCTTCCCGGCTATTTATATCTGCTGGGATGGGCTCGGGGCGGAGGGGCCATGTGGAAGCGGCGGCCGTGCTTCCCTCGGGATGCCTCCTTGGCTCGCTCGCCCTCCTCCTCCTCTGCTGCTTCAGCCTCGGGTGAGGGATCCCCGTGCCTTCCCCTTCCCTGGTTTTCTCTGCCTGCTGCCTATGGCTTCTTATTCCCCATTTTCCTTGCTCCGCCTGCCCCTGGAGAGAGGACAAGGGGGCTTTTCCCCCAGCCAGGGGGGGTTTTTGGGAATGGGGACTCTCCTTGTCCTCTCCCTGCTCCCAGCCTGGCTCATCCTGGTGTCTGGTGACTGTGGGTGAGCTCAGGGAGGACGCTGGGATTCGGCTCCAAACCCAAACACACCCCCTGCCACGGAGCCAATGGAGCTCCAGACCCCCAAAAGTTTAAAATGAGGGGTTTTTTGGCATTTTGTGGGGGGTTTTTTCCCTGCAGGGGACTCGGAGGAGGAGGACACGGGGTTCCTGGAGGTCACGGTCTCGGACATGAAGCACCCGCCACCAGAGCTGGGCCCCATGCCCGAGGGGCTGAGCCCGCAGCAGGTGGGGTGGGATGGGTTTGGGGGATTTGGGGGGAATTGGCTCTCCCTGGTCCCGTGACTGAGGAACCAGGGACAGGGCGAGGCAGCACCAAGTGATGCTGTGTCAGCACTTCTGCCCGGGCCTGCACCTCCCCCATCCCGGGCTTTGGGGTGGGGGGATCATGGCTGAGCCCCTCATCCTGGTGTTTGGGGTTTGGGACCATCCTGGGGTTTGGGGTTTGGGACCATGGCTGACCCCCCCCCATCCTGGTATTTGGGTTTGGGACCATCCCAGCATTTGGGGTTTGGGACCATCCCAGTGTTTGGGGTTTGGGATTGGGGGTTTGAGACCACGGCTGACCCCACCACCCCAGTATTTGGGTTTGGGACCATCCCAGTATTTGGGGTTTGGGACCACAACCGAGCCCTCCATCCCAGTATTTGGGTTTGGGACCATCCCAGTATTTGGGGTTTGGGACCATGGCTGAGCTCCTCCTGTCCCACCATTTGGGGTTTGGGACCATGGCTGAGCTCCTCCCATCCCCCCATTTGGGGTTTGGGGCATCCTGACCGATTCCCTGTCCCACAGGTGGTGCGGCGGCACATCCTGGGCTCCATCGTGCAGAGCGAGCGGAGCTACGTGGACTCCCTGAAGCGGATCCTGCAGGTGGGATCCCCGCTCGGGCTCCTCGGGGGTGTCTCCATGGATCCCGGGGCGCTGACGCTCTGGCGCTCCCACAGGATTACAGGAACCCGCTGCTGGAGATGGAGCCGAAGGTGCTGAGCGCCAGGAAGTGCCAGGTGGTGTTTTTCCGGCTGAAGGAGATCCTGCAGTGCCACTCCATGTTCCAGATCGCCCTCGCCTCCCGCGTGGCCGAGTGGGACTCGGCCGAGAAGATTGGGGACCTCTTCGTGGCCTCGGTAGGAGGGGGTGGAGGAGGAGGCTCTTCCCAGAAGGATTGGTGGGGCCTTGGGAGGGGCTGGGACCATGGAGTCCCCATCCCTGCAGGGGTTCAGGATGAGCCTGGACGTGGCATTCGGTGCCATGGTCTGGGGGACAAGGCGGGCTTGGGTCACAGGTTGGACTCGATGATCTCAGAGGTCTTTCCAAACTCAGTGATTCTGTGAAATCCAGGAGAAATCCCCCCACGGTTGTGGGTGGGAGTGGAAGGCTTGGACCAGGTGATTTAAGAAGCCCTGCCCTGGAGTCCCAAGGTGCAGAAAGGCCCCCCTGGCTTCCTCAGCTCCCTCTCTGAGGGGATGAAGCTGGATCCCATCTTAGCCTCAGATTGTGTCACCAGTTTAAATGTGAACAGTTAGAGAGGGGGGATTGAACCACTTCTGTCCTGCAGGTTTTCACTCTGGCAAACTGAGGATATTTATGTAAAATGAATTATTTATTATTGCAAATGATCAGACAAAATGTCTCGATCAGAATTATTTACTGCACAATACAAAAGCTAAATCTACTAATGTAGGATAGGATAGAGCGTGATAGTAAAGCAATTATTGGAGCAATTATATTAAAGCGAAAAGAAGTAATTATCAAGTAGAGGTTTGATGTAACTCACCTAGACCAATGTTTGTGGGGAGATTTCTTTCTCTCAACCTCGAGGATTGTCCCCACCCGAGGGAGGGATCTCCACACAACCACCCCAAGAAGGGTTATGCTGGAAAATCTCCTGTGTGAAAGTGGCCTGGGTTTTTATAGTAGAACAGTCTGCTGGTCACACATCTCCAGGGCACGGAGCAGCTCATCTATCCAGTCCTGCTGCCAAGAGCAGGATGTGTTTGGGGTTTGGGGAACCAGGCTGGTTTTAACACAGCTCAACCCCAAAACCCCTCCTGGCAGCAGCAGGAGCTCAGCACAGCCCCCCTGGCTGGGAGCTGGTGGGCTTTGCATTCCCTGCCTGGATTCCAGACCTGCTCAGGGTGGAACCTGCCCCAGCCACCACCAAACCCTCCCGGCCCTCCCAGCCACACCAGGGAGTGGGGGGAGGATTTAAGTGACGCAGCTCCAGCCCTGGGGTCCCACCAGCACCCTCAGCATCACCCCAAAAACATACCAATCCCCCACTTCTGGGGGACTCCCACCCCATCCCGGGTCTCCTGTACTCTCCCAGTTCTCCAAGTCCATGGTGCTGGACGTCTACAGCGACTACGTCAACAACTTCACCTCGGCCATGTCCCTCATCAAGAAGGCCTGTCTCACCAAACCCGCCTTCCTCGACTTCCTCAAGGTCAGCACCCCCCAAAGGTGGGCCCATGGTGCTGCTGGGCACCATTTGGGGTGAAAACTCCTTTTTTCCTGGCCTTTGTCCCCCCACAGAAGAGGCAGATGGCCAGTGCTGACCGGGTCACGCTCTACGGGCTGATGGTGAAGCCCATCCAGAGGTTCCCTCAGTTCATCCTTCTCCTGCAGGTATGGGAGGGAGGTACCTACACCCACCTTGCTTTGCACCCCTGGGATGTGTCTTTGCACCCTTTTTTGGTGTGGGGCACATTTCAGGGTTGGCAGCTTGGTTGCACCTTTGGGGACCATCCCAAGGACCATCTTCCAAGCTTTGATTTTGGAGGTGCTTTCGAACAGGGCTGATTTTTCCGGGGTGGTTTTCGTCCCCCCCTCCTTTCTCTTCTCCAGGACATGCTGAAGAACACCCCCAAGGGCCACGCAGACCGTCTGTCCCTCCAGCTGGCCCTCACTGAGCTGGAGACGTTGGCGGAGAAGCTCAACGAGCAGAAGCGCTTGGCCGACCAAGTGGCTGAGATCCAACAGCTCAGCAAGAGCATCAGCGACAGGAGCAGCCTCAACAAGGTGGGTCCTTCAGCCATGGGTGTGTTTTGGAGCTGGTGGTTGGGGTTTGAGGCTTTCACCTTCCTCTTGGTGTCAGGGGTTTCAGGAAACCAGATCCCTGCTGTCCCTGAAAGGACTTTAATCAAAACCAAGTCTTGGCGTTGGCGCAGGGAAATTCCGGGACGAGCTGCTGGGTCTCATCCCCCTGATTTTGCAACTGTTTGTGTCTAAAAAAAGAACCCAAAGTTCTTGCGACACATCCTGGGCTGGGGTTGGCAAAAACCACGGCGGGGCAGCCGCTGGCTCGGCACTGGGATCAGGATTTGCATCCGGGGCATGAAGAGAGAAGGGTGGTTGGACACGTGGGGTGCAGAGGGTGCAGCCTCGGAGCGTGGTGCCCGTCCTGCTCCACGGAACTCGGGACTGTCCGTGCGCCCAGCTGGAGGAAAATCCTTGGAATAATGGAAAACTGACCCAAATTTTGGGTCAGGAGGCTTCCAGGAGCCCCCAGGCTGAGCCCCCTGCCCGCTCCATCCCCTTTGCAGCTGCTGAGCTCGGGGCAGAGGCAGCTCCTGCTCTGTGAGACACTGACGGAGACGGTGTACGGGGACCGAGGGCAGCTCATCAAGTCCAAGGAGAGGAAGGTTTTCCTGCTCAACGACATGTTGGTCTGTGCCAACATCAACTTCAAGTACGTACTGGTCCCGCCAGACCCCAAAATCAGTTAGTGAAGTGCTGATATACCCAACCCGCTCCATCCCCACCTCAGTGTTTGGCTTGGTGGGATTTTTGGGGAACTACCACAAGGAGGGACAGAACCTTTAAAGGCCACCTCACCTTGTTTTGGGCAGGAACCCACGTGGTTTGGGGTTTCTCTGCCCCATTCTTGGCACTGTTCATGCCAAGCCTTGGCATTCCTTGGTGCTGGAGTCAGTGCAGAGTCTGGGAACATGCTGGAACCTCAGGGCTTGGTAGAGATTGATGCTGCCAAGGGGAAAACCTTCCTTAAATTCCTCCTAAAACTTCTTTATTAATCCTTTTTCCCCTTTTCCAGGCCGGTGGATGCAGGGTAGGTCCCAACCATGGTCTGCTGTGCTTGTGTGCCCCAGGCTGGGGGTTCAGGCATGGACTGGTGCACGGGGTGGGCTCACAGATGGGGCTTGGCTTGCACGACTCGTGTTTCGGGGCGAGCTGAGGCACCTGCTGTTCATTGACACCTGTTTTTCCCTCTCTCCTCGGCAGAGGCCAACTGGAAATCAGCAGCCTGGTGCCCCTGGGGCCCAAATACGTGCTGAAGTGGAGCACGGCCCTCCCGCAGGTGCAGGTGGTGGAGGTGGGGCAGGAGGGCGGCGCCTACGACAAGGACAACGTGGTCATCCACAACGCCGGCGCCCGCAGACACGCGCCCGCCGGGCAGGCCTCGCACAGTGAGGGCACATCCCGGGATCCCAGGCCGGGAGGGCTGGGGGGGCTGGGATGGAGCATTCCCTCACACCACGGCTGCCCGGGGAGGTGATGGAGTCCCCGTCCCTGGAGGTCTTTAAAGAAGGACTGGATGTGGCCCTTAGTGCTGTGGTGGTGTTGGGTCAAAGGTTGGACTTGATCTTGGAGATCTTTTCTGACCTAATTGTCTCTGGGATCCTCCATGGACCTCAATTCTCCATTTTTCCACATGAGAAGTCACACCATGGTCTGCCCTGGGGGTGGTGGAAACATCATCCCTGGAGGGCTTTAAGGAAGGACCACTCAGTGCCACGGTCTGGTTGACATGGTGGTGTTGGGTCAAAGGTTGGACTCAATCTGGGAGGTTTTTTCCAACCTTACTGATTCTGGGATCTTCTGTGGACCTCAATTCTCCCCTTTTGCTCCCCAGACAAAGTCTACCTGGGGCCACCACGGCTCTTCCAGGAGCTGCAGGACCTGCAGAAGGACCTGGCAGTGGTGGAGCAGATCACCCTCCTCATCAGCACCTTGCACGGCACCTACCAGGTACCTGTGTGGTCCCAGCACTGCCAGGGTGTGGTCTGGGGACAGCCAGCCTGGGGCACCTCCCAGCACCATGGGGCTCCTTGGCACCTCTTTGGGATCTCTGGGCACCTCCTGGGGGATCTCTGGGCACCTCTTTGGGGGTTGCTGGGGACACCTTGGGGATGCCTCCTCTGGAGCCCCACGGATGAAGTTTGGGGGTGGTTCAGGCTGGTTTTGGGGGCCCTTCCCCCATGTGTGACTGTCCCCCAGAACCTGAACATGACGGTGGCCCAGGACTGGTGCCTGGCACTGCAGAGGATGGTGAGGGTGAAGGAGGAGGAGATCCACTCTGCCAACAAGTGCCGCCTGCGGCTGCTGCTGCCCGGGAAGCCGGACAAGTGAGTGTGGGGTCCTGGGGGTTCCCCCCATGAGTGTGGGATCCTGGGGGCTCCTCCCACGAGTGTGGGGTCCTGGGGGCTCCTCGCACCCCGAGGGGACGAAGACCCACCCGGGGGTCTGTGCCCACACAGGTCCGGCCGCCCCATCAGCGTCATGGTTGTGTTCATCACCCCCAGCCCCCTGAGCAAGATCTCCTGGGTGAACCGCCTGCACCTGGCCAAGATAGGCCTCAGTGAGTCACCAGCATTCCTTGGAAAAGCCAGGCTTGGGAGCGGAGAGGGGTTGGCATCGCTTGGAGCATCCCAACCCAAATAGGGCGGGGTGGGGGGAAACTTTGGGAGTAAGGTGATGGAGAACATCTTGGAGATTTGCATGCTGAAAATGGTGGGAATGGGGAGTTCCGGCCCCAAATGCTTTGGGATTTGCTGCTCTCGGGTGGGATCTCCGGGCTGGAGTCACAAAGGGATGGATTTCTGTCGGCTCTCATGGCAGCGGTGTCGGGGCTGACCCATTTTCCATGGAACAGGATGAATGAGGAAGGGAGGAGCCTCCTGCCCCTTCCCAATCCCTATTCCTCTATAACACCCTCAGCCACTGCAGCAGCAAAAATAAGTTTAACGGAAGAAAATAAAAAGAATTTAAAATTCTGTTTGAGTGCTTAGATCCCCCTGGGCTGGAATAATTTATGAGTCTCTTGTTTTTTAACAGTTTGTGTTTTGTTTTCCCTTTTTTTTATCCTGGGGGATAATCCTGTATCCATGAGTTAGAAATGAAAACACATTAAAGCCTGATGTGAAGAAACACATCGGGGGTGTTTTCTTGCTCTTCTGTATCTGATTTTTGGGACTTTTTTGCTGCTGCCGGAGGTGGTTCCTTGGCTGTGCGCTGCAATAATTGGGAGCACGGGGTGAGGTGTATCCCAAATCCATGGGTAATGGTGGTTTGGGGTTGGAGGTGAGACCCCTGCACCTCCAGTTATAAATTCTGAGGTCTTCTTGGGGTCTTGGTGACCCTCGAGCTCCTTGTCTTTCCGCAGGGGAAGAGAACCAGCCGGGCTGGCTCTGTCCCGACGAAGACAAGAAGAGCAAAGCCCCGTTCTGGTGCCCCATCCTCTCCTGCCACATGCCAGCCTTCTCCTCCAAAGCCCTTGATCTGCAGGTGAGAGCCATGAGCAACCTCTTCTCCATCCCCCCTTCCCTTCCCATCCCTCATTCTGGGGAGGAAAGGCCGGGATCCCACAGTGGGGGGGCCAGACGGGGCATCCCAAGTCGGTCGCAAGGGCACAGAATGGTGCAGCCCACCCTGGAAAGCTGGGAATAGCAGCAGGGCTGTGGCTGGATCCCGAATTTCGGGATGTCCGCTGCTATCCTGCCTGTGTTGGGGTAATTTGGGTTCTCCATCACCCCTTTCCCTCCATCTTTTTGGGGGGGAAAGGCAGAAATCCCGCAGTGGACAGGGTGTCCCGAGTCGGTCACGAGGGCAGAAATTGGTGCAGCCGCCTCTGGAATGCTGGAAATGCCAGCGGGGCTGTGGCTGGACCCCCGATTTTGGGGGGTCCGCCGCTGTCCTGCCCGTGCTGGGCTAATTTTGGGGCGCTGCCCTGCTGTGTCCCCAGCTCGGAGCCGCAGTTCACAACCCCGTGCAGTCCTCCCTGCTGGGCTTCTCCGCCGTCAGCACATCGCTGCCGCAGGGCTACCTCTGGGTGAGCCACCCCCCAAAACGGGGCCAAACCCCCTGGCTTTGGGGCATCGTGTCCCCAACAGCCCCCCCGTGGGGTCGTGGCGGGCGTTGACCCCGCTGTGTGTCCCCCCAGGTGGGGGGTGGCCAGGAGGGCGCGGGGGGGCAGGTGGAGATCTTCTCCCTGAACCGCGCCGTGCCGCGCACTGTCAAGTCCTTCCCGGTGGCCTCCCCGGTGCTGTGCATGGAATACATCCCGGAGCCCGAGGAGGGGGATGCCCCGGGCTGCCAGGAACCCCGAGCCGGCGAGCAGCCCCCCCCGGCCCCTCATCCCACCGTGTGCCTGGGGCTGCAGGACGGCAGGTGAGCCCCCCCTCCCGCTGCCAGCCCGCCCAGCGCCCGGCCCCGAGGGACAGCTCTGCAGCTGCCACCCCTTCCCTCCCCAGCATCCTGGTCTATGGGAGCGTGGACACGGGGACGCCGTGCCTGCTGAGCTGCAGGAGCCCAGGAATGCAGCCCATCCTGTGCCTGAGGCACAGCCCCGAGTTCCTGTTCGCGGGACTGCAGGACGGCTCCGTGGCCGCCTACCCCCGGAGCAACGGTGAGGAGCTTGTTTGGGGGAAACCTCCTAGAAAAACCCCATGGAATGAGAAAGTTCTTTGTGGAATTGGGAGGTTCTCACACCAGCAAAATATGCTGACCACTGAAATAGTGATAAATCTCCATTTGTCATTTTTTTTCCTCCCCAAAATTTCGCCCTTCCCCTCACAGCCCTGGGCAAGGAAAGGGCTTTTCACTGAAGGCAAGAGGGATTCGTTCTGGGGAGAGAACAGGTGGGAAATGATCCTGCTGAGGGGTTCAGAGGGCAGCAAAGGGTTTGCTTGGGGGCTGCAGGAAGGGCCTGATGATGGGATGTGTGAGGATTTGGAGCTTTTGCCTTCCAAAAATCACCTTTTTGGTGCTATAAATGGAGCTGGTCCCCTCCAACCCCCACCCACCCAGAGACTCTTTCCTTTTGCAGCTTGAGTTTGGGTTGGTTTGCCCTGGTTCTGGCTCAGGCTGAGCTTCCATCCCTCCCCAGCGACTGCTTGCCTGGGTAAATACCTTTTTTTCATCACTAGAGGGTAGGAAAGAGCCTCAAATAATGTGGAACTTGGCCTATTTTTGGACAAACCACCTTGTTTTCTCCAAGAACCTGCAGGGAGCAGCACCCAAGTCAACTCAGAGCCACTAAACCCCCTTAAATTGCATTTTTGGGTGCTGCACGTCCCCTTTCCCAAATTACAGCAACCCTGGGAGCCAATTAAAGTCACTTTTAATTGAATTTTGATTGTGTAAATGCACAGTGATGGCAGCAAGCTGCTGGCAGGGCTGCAGGGTGAAGTTTTTAATCTTATCCCTGTTTTTTTGGAAGGCAAAAGCTTCCCTGAAAGAGCTGAAATGAGGATTTGCTGAAAGAGGAATCAGTTGCAAACCCCTGCTGATGGGAGAAGAGGTTGGAGGATCCAAAGGGCTCTTTTATCCATCAGATCTTAGGGTCTGAGTTAAAAAAAAGCATCGGAAATAAAAAAAAAAGGAGAGTGATTATGTATTGAAGCTGCTGGTGGTGGATTCATCCAAATCCACGTTGGATGCTGTTCACAGGGACGCTCCAGAATGGCCCTGGAGTGTCACTTGAAAAGCAAATAAATGGGAAAAAGGGGGATTTTTAGCTTTTCCAACAAGGAACGTGCCTGAGTGCTGCAGGTGGGCAGTTGTTCCCTGCTCCAAAGCTCCACAGGAGCAGAGGGAATTTGGAGGGGTTGGAACGGGGGGAATAACCCCCCTTTGGCCTTTGGATTGTGGAATTGGGATCCTTGGAGGTGTGAGGGGTCCCCAGTGACCCCAGCCCACATTTTGGGGGGGTTCAGCTCCACACAAAGCTGATTTTCCTGGTGCTCCCCCTGATCCCATCCCTGTGCTCCAGGGGGGCTCTGGGACCCGGCAGTGCAGCCCACCCGCCTGCCCGTGGGCACCGGCCCCGTCCGTGCCCTGCTGACCCTGGAGGAGACCCTGTGGGCCAGCTGTGCCAACCAGGTCACTGTCCTTGATGCCACCACCCTCCGGGCCCAGGTAGGAGCATCCCCAGGATCCGGGATCTGCATCCCTTGGGAATAGTCAGAGCTCCGGGGCGGGGTTGGAGCCCCAGCTGATCCCCCTGCCCAGGCCCATCCCTGCCCTGCACTGCCCGAACCAGCCTTTTCCTGCTGCTTTCCCTCATTTCTGGCTCCCTTCCCTCCCGTGTTGGATCACAGGAGGGAGGTGCTGAGCCCCTCCTGCAGCTGCACAACCAGGGAATGCTGCAGAGTCGCTTTTTGCTTTAAAAATCCCCTTTTCTCCCACCTTCATTTCCACATTTAGTGCCCCAACTCGGTTTGCATGTATCAGCTGTCATAAATCCAGCCCGAGGGTGCTGATGGACATGAATTATGCATTGGGGACTGGATTCCTTTCCAGGCTCCCTCTTTATTTATGACAGGAGGGGATTTTTTTTTTTGCAGAAGAAGGGGAAAAAATAGGGGTGGGGGTTGCTATGGGGTGGTGTAAATAATGCCGTGGAATAGGGTCTTGGTCTGGGAATAAACCAGCAGGGAATGGATCCCAGGGAGGGTGGGGAATGTGGGGAGATCACCTGAAAATCTCTGTTCACTCCTGTCTTGGGAAAGGTTTTTTGGGAGGTGCTTTGTGCCCCTTCTGTGGGAAGGGGATCAACCCCAGCTCCTCTTTTTTCACTGTAAAGTAAATTTTAAAGGCCAGGCTGCAGCAGGGATGGGTTTTGATGCCAAGAAGGTGCTTTTCCTGCAGTTTGCATCTCTTGTCTGACAGGGAAATGCTCCAGTTGGGAGTTTGGGAAGCAGATGGCCCAATCCATGATTCCCAAGGATCCTGGGGCAGGGAGGCTGAGCCTCTCCTGGCTGGTTTTTGGGGTCGGAGGAAGCAGGAGGGTCTCACCGTGTATTGAAATGGATTTTGCAGATGCATTTGGTCTGGGAAATGAATCTTTCAGAGAAGGACAAAAACCCTGGAGGGGTGGGAAAGGCTGTGTTACCATCCCCAAAACCTCAGAGGGGTTTGCAGATGGGCTGGTTCCCGGGTGCTCTCCCAGAGCTGGAGCTGCTGAGGAGGGAAGGGAACTCAGGGTCACTCTGGCCCCTCCCTGTGCAGCTTTGGAGCCCCAAAGAAGCTCCTGGAGAGAGCCCAAGCTGCACTTTTGGGGAGCCCCCTTTTGATTTCCTTCTGGGCTTCCCCCCAGCAAACCTTCGAGGCCCACCCCGAGGCCGAGGCCAGCGTGACCCACATGGTGAAGGCGGGCAGTGGGGTCTGGATGGCCTTTGCCTCGGGCTCCTCCATCCGCCTCTTCCACACCGAGACCCTGGAGCACCTGCAGGAGATCAACGTCGCCACCAGGACCACCTTCGTGCTCCCAGGTGAGCCCTGAGCCCCCCTGGCTGCTCTGGCAGTGCCCTGGGGGCATTGCCCTGGCAACTCCTTGTTAAAACAACAACTTGTTAAAATTTATTGTTATATTTAAAATGCCAAAGTCTGACTTTCCCCAAATCAGTCTCAATACTTACGACTTTTTAGAATTTTCAAATCTGTGTTTTCTTTCTGTGAAATGAACAAATTAATTTTGTGCTCTTTGAGGTTGGTTCCCTGCTCTCCAGAGGGACTGGGGAGGAACAGGGTGCTGGGTGAGGCTCTGGAGCTCTGGGCTCTGGGCTCTGCTCACGGGCTGCAGAGGTTGAGCTGGTCTGTGCCCTGTGTGTGTATCCATGAATCCCAGCTTTGCATCTCCATACGTGCACCTTGTCCATGTGCTCCATCCCTGCACGTGTCCTATCCCTGTGCCCCATCCCTGTTCCCATCCATGTTCCCCATCCGTGTTCCCCATGCCTGTTCCCCATCCCTGTGTCCCATCCCTGTGTCCCATGCTTGCACCCCATCTTTGCCCTGTGAATGCCTCTCCTTGTCCCTATGCATCCCTGCACCCTATCCTTGTCCCCCCATCCATGACCCCATCCTTGTCCCCTGATCCTTGTCCCCCATCCCTGTTCCCCCCGTCCCTGTCCCCCCGTCCCTGTCCTTCCATCCCTGTCCCTTCCATCCCTGTCCCTTCCATCCCTGTCCCTTCCATCCCTGTCCCTTCCATCCCTGTCCCTTCCATCCCTGTCCCCCCATCCCTGTCCCCCCATCTTTTCCCTTCCCTCCCTGTCCCTCCCATCCTTGTCCCCCCATCCTCGTCCCCCATCCCTTCCCTCCCATCCTTGCCCCATTCCCGCATCCATGCACCCCCCCATTGCCCTGTGCACCCCTTTCCCCCATTTCCCCCCATCCCATTCCCATCCCTGTGTCCCTGCCCCTCCCTGGGCTGTCCCCTGTTCCCCCGGGAGCTCCACGATCGTGTCGTTGGTCCCGAGGATCCTCCTGTAAATCCCTTTGGCTCCATTTTTTTCCCGCTTTTTTAGGGCATGTTCCAATATTCATCACTTCCCTTTCTTCCTGGGCGAGCGAGTGGTGGGGATTAATGCATTTTTGAACTTGTGCTCCTTCATCCTTTTTAAGTTGGCAGGTCATTAATAAAATCCTCCTGGAGGAACCCGGAGTTGCATCTCTGTGGATTTATTGCTGCTCCGAGTCGGACGTCGTGCAGCGCTAAGTCCTGCCCATAAAATATTCACTTCCCATTAGAAGTCTCACTTTTCTCTTTTTTTTTCCCCCGCTCTCCTTTTTATTTATGTAGATTTTTAGCCCTTTCCCCACCGTGGAGACCTTCATGCCAAAGTGCTGCTTTGGTTCTGGGGGCTTCCAGAGGCAAAAAAATCCACCGGTGATGGTTTTTTTGGGAGTTTGATGTGAAATTATCCCTCAGCCTCTTTTTTCTTTCTGCTTCCACAGATCAAAACCCACATCTGTGTCACCTCTGCCAGGGCTTGCTCTGGGGGGGCTCCAGCCAGGGCATCATCCTGGGTTTGGGGGCTTCCAGAGGATGTTCTGCGTAAAATCTCCCGCGGTGCTGAATTCTTTGGGAGTTTGATGTGGAGTTCTCCCCGCTCCTCTCTGTCTCCCCTGCCCAGGTCACAAGCACGTGCGTGTCACCAGCCTGCTCATCTGCCAGGGCTCGCTCTGGGTGGGCACCGACCAGGGCATCATCGTGCTGCTGCCCGTGCCTCGCCTGGAGGGGATCCCCAAGATCACCGGTGAGCCCCGGCCCTTCCCTGCCCGGGAATCCCCCATTCCCAGGCTCGGCTGGAGCCACATCCCCGAGTTCTCCCGCAGGGAAGGGCATGGTGTCCCTCAACGGCCACAGCGGCCCCGTGGAGTTCCTGGCGGTGGCTCTGAGCACGTTGGCCCCCGACGTCCTCCGGGGCGACCGGGACGAGGAGGAGGAGGGGGGCGAGGAGGAGAAAGGCCCGGAGCTGGAGGGGCCTCCCCCGCGGGAGCTGAGGAAGAAAGGGATCCTGCTGCAGTACCGGCTGCGCTCCACGGCCCACCTGCCCGGGCAGCTGCTCTCCGTGCGGGAATCCCCGCCGGGAACGCCGGCACACGCCGAGGAGGACGGGTCCATCTACGAGCTGGCCGACGACCCCGACGTGTGGGTGAGGAGCCGGCCCTGCGCCCGCGACACCCCCCGCAAGGAGATCTCCTCCGTGGCCATCGTGTCCGGGGGCCGCGGGTACCGCAACTTCCGCGGGGACGGCCCGCACAGGGACAGGGCGGGCAACGGCGACAGCTCCCTGCTCATCTGGCAGCTCCCGCTGTCGCATTCCCGGGATCCCAGCCCTCCCTGCTCACCTGGCAGATCCCACTGATGCTATGGCATTCCCGGGATTCCTCACTCGCCCACTGATGTTGCAGCATTCCCGGGACCCTCCCACACTCTGCTCATCTGGCAGATCCCGGGATTCCCCCCCATCCTGCTCACCTGGCAGATCCCGGGATTTCCTGCCATCCTGCTCATCTGGCAGATCCCACTGATGCTGCTGCATTCTTGGAATTGCCCCCCAACTGTGCTCATCTGGCAGATCCTGGGATTCCCCCCATCCTGCTCATCTGGCAGATCCCATTGATGCTGCAGCATTCCTGGGATTCTCTCCCCACCCTGCTCCCATGGCAGATCCCACCAATGCTGTGGCATTCCCGGGATTCCCCCCAACCCTGCTCATCTGGCAGATCCCGTGGATGCTGCAGCCTTCCCAGGATTCTCTCCCCACCTTGCTCATCTGGCAGATCCCGGGATTCCCCCCCCGCGCTGCTCCTCTGGCAGCTCCGGTTGCTGCTGCAGCATTCCCGGGATTCCCCACCAACCCGGCACCTACCTCAAGCCACCCAACAGCTGCCGGGGGTGGCCCTGCCCCGGGTGCATCACCCGTTATTTTTATAAGGAGGAAAAAACTGAAAAAAAATGGGGAGTTTCTTCCCTGAAAACCAGCTGTTTGCATGGAAAGTGGGCATTCCGGGCAGCGGGAGCGGCGCCCTCCCTGCGGGCTGTGGGGGGGCTGCTCCCGGCCCGAGGTGTCCGTGTGTCTGTGTGTGAGTACCCCCCTCTATACATTTATATATATATAAATATGTTGTATATTATGACCTGTACAAAGAAGGAATCTGTATATATTGGGACACTGGGAGCGCCAGGAATGGGGGTGGTAGCTCCCAGCGGGTTTTGCCTGGAATAACCACTTCTTCTGGACTGTGACTTGAGGCTCTTTGGTACGAAACCCCCCGGTTTTGGGAGCTGAGGACACTTGGCTTCCAAGGAAAGGAAATGGGGGGAGTGTGGAAATAAATCCCGTAGGAATCGGCGTGTTTTGTGCAGTTCTGTAACTCCGGCTTCGGGTGCAAACATTCCTTCCCTTGGTTTGGTGGGAACATCCCAAGGGGCTCCACTTCCCTGGAAGTGTCCAAGGCCAGGTTGGACGGGGCTTGGAGCAACCTGGGATAGTGGGACTGGATGGGCTTTAAGGTCCTTCCAACCCAAAACAGTCTGAGATTCTAGGATTACTGTGACTGTGGAGAAAGCTGGATTTGAGGGAATCCAGTTCTTAGATATTGGGAAGGAATCCTTCCCTGTGAGGGTGGTTTGGCCCTGGCACAGGTTGCCCAGAGAAGCTGTGGCTGCCCCATCCCTGGAAGTGTCCAAGGCCAGGTTGGACGGGGCTTGGAGCAACCTGGGCTGGTGGAAGGTGTCCCTGCCCATGGCAGGGGGTGGGATGGGATGAGCTTTGAGGTCCCCGGCCCAAACCCTGGGATTCTGATCCACCCCCTTGGAGCTGCACATCCTCAGAAATCAACAGGAAGCTCCAAAACACCCTTTTCCCCCTCAGGAATGGTGTGGGATGGAGGGACTATCCCCAGAAGGATGTGCCCCATCCCCCGTTCCTCTGGCACGGCTCCATCCTCGCAGAAATCCAAGGCCAGCGAGGTGGAAACTTGTCCGAGGACTTAAATCAATTTATGACCCGACCCTTTAAGTGCCTCCAATTTGATTTTCATTTGTAGCATCACAATTATCAGATCGAAATTCCCAAGCGCTCAGCCCTGAAATGGGCTGGCGGCTCCCGCTCCGGAGAGCCAGGATTGTCCAATAGCTCCTGCTCTGGAGAGCTGGGATTGTCCAACAGCTCCTGCTCTGGAGAGCTGGGATTGTCCAGGCTCCCGCTCCGGAGCACTGGGATTGTCCGGCACCGTGGCTCTGGAGCACGGGCTCATCCACCGGAGCTGGGCTGAGCTGGCCTGGGATTCCTTTGCCCTCCTTGCTGAAGTTTTCTCCCTGTGGAGCAGCTCCAAGGGTGGGAATTCTCCAGCCCGGCCCTGGAGATGCCCCAGAGGAAGGAGCACGAGCCCGGCGATGCCAAGGGGAGGGTGGGAAGGAGCTCCTGGATTTTCCCACCTGTTCTCCCTCTTTTCCTTTGCAGCTTTGTCACTGCAAGGACCTGTGGGAAAAGCAGCTGGATTTCCAGGGCCTGGCAGGGACTTCCCATGCTTTGGAATGACAGCATTAAAACATGTTTGTGTTTATTGCAGGGCTCTCTGGGACCCCAATCTGGGAGTTTAATGAGATAAAGGAACATCAGAAACCCAATTTTAGGGACTCCAGATGTCCCCCTCGGGCTACAATTCCAACTAAAACACCCCAAAACGAGGATGGTGCTCTTGGAGCTGCAGCTGTTTTCCCTCTGGGAACGGACTGGTGGCACCAGGAGGCTGCTCCACCACCTTGGATTTTATTTCCTTATCCCAAACGAGTGTCCTTTAGGAATCACTGAGGTTGGAAAACACTTCCAAGACAATCAAGTCCAACCTGTGGCTGATCCTTGTCACCAGACCCTATTCTATATGTATGTCATGGCCGGGCTTCGCGAACGAAGATTAAGGAAGGCTCTATCCACGTTTGTCACAGGCACGCTGGTGGCTAATGAGGCCAATACGAGACAGGCATGTCCGATTGCAGGACAGCAGAAAGACTCCTTAGGTGGTAAATTCTGCAAGACACGGTTCTTTCTGCATTGCCTTTTCTCCTCAAGGGTGACCCTGCTGCGTTCTCAAAAGCATCAGCAGCATTATAGATGGGGTGTCTCCAGACCTCCCGATTGGAGGCCAGAGTAGACCAGTTATGGTGGTCGATATGGTCAAGGCTGAGATGTTGTTTCAGGGAGTCCTTGTATCTCCTTTTTGGGGCTTCTCTCTTGCGGCAGCCGGTGGCAAGTTCACCATAAACCAAGGTCTTAGGGAGGGGGTGGTTGGTCCTTCATCCTTGAGACGTGCCCTGCCCAACGCAGCTGTGTTCTCAGCAACATGGCCTCAATGCTTGTGACTGCTGCCTGTTCTAGAACAGATGGATTGGTCACATCATCTGACCAGTGGATGTTTAGGATTGTACGGAGGCAGCGTTGATGGAAGCGTTCGAGGAGTCGCAGGTGGTGGCTGTAGATGACCCAGGATTCAGATCCATTTAAAAGAGTAGACAGCACAATGGCTCTGTAAACACTGATCTTGGTACTTTTCTTCAAGTGTTTATTTTGCCAAACTCTTTGATGGAGCCTTCCAAAAGCTCTCGAGGCCTTTGCTAACCTGTTGTCTATCCGTCGATCTTACCATCTGAGGAGATGAGGCTGCCTAGGTAATTAAAGTGCTGGACTGATTTGAGCTCTGATTGGCCAATGGTGATATGGGGATGATGGGGGACTTCCTGAGGTGCCGGTTGATGGAGGACCTCTGTCTTCTTTAAGCTGACTTCCAGCCCAGAGAGCTCAGCAGCATCTGCAAAGCAGGATGTTAAACGCTGCAG